TAATAAAAAGTTAAAATTAAAAGCGGTAGAACAATTGATTTTTGTTTCTCCCTCTTTTTTACATCTTAGTGGATTTTGAATCTCATTGTATTTTTATTGTTTAACTATGGAGAGTGCTCTGAGAGTGGAGGATTTCTTTTTTAGCCTAGGAGTCCATCTGCTTAGGTACCACTCTCTTACATATTTCAGTCGCCAAATAGCAATGTTTGCATAGCCGGCCAATTACAGGCTGTGAGGCATTCCATTTTAGTTCTCAGAGATGATAACTCATCTGGAGCCTTCCTTGCAGTAGCCACTTACTAACAAGTGGACTTTTAGTTAATTTGTCACTTTAGTTTTATAAAAAAAAGAATAACTCTTCGGAATAATTTCAGTCACCACAGTCACCATAAAACACTGCGTTATAGCACTGAGTACCATCCATTCATCCACATTATCTTGATGGTTCGCAACTCACTACTGTGCGTTGTTATAGGAATTTTCTGTCGCTTACGACTAATTTATAAAATTTACTGCTTTAGTTTTTCCGGATCGGTAAGATTTAGGTAACTTCAAGAAAAGAAGCAAGAAGTTGATAGATACAGGTAGCCCGGGGCCGTGTTTTGTAGCATTCCTTGGGGGTCGATAGATCGATCGCGATTTATATGTGTAATGGACTAGCTTTTACCCGCGACTTCATTCGCTTAGTACTTAAACAAAATATCTGCAGATCTATATACCCAAAATTACTTATAAACTTACTTACTATTATAAAAGTGGTCTTTGGAAAATTAAGTTCAATTATTTAAAAAAAAAACACTTTAAAATTAGTCGTTTGCTGTTATCTCAAAAACAATTCCATAGTTTTTGAGATAGCAAAAAACTATTATCTCAACAACTATTACATAGTTTTGTAGTTAATTACAAACGTAACTAAGTGTAAAGGTTGGAAATTGTTAATAAGTGAAAAGGTATTATGTTAGGTTGTGGAATCTTAATTAGTTTTCAATTTTGTGGGATTATACTCAAGCAGCCTACTCCTTTTTAAAAGGCCGGCAACGCATCTGCAATTCCCCTGGTGTTGCGGTTGTTCATGGGCGGCGGTAGTCACTTACCATCAGGTGAGCCGCATGCTCGTTTGCCCCCTCTCCTATAAAAAAAAAATAAATAAATAAAAAAAAAGCACGTTTAGCTTTTAATAAGTAAAAAATGGTTAAAATAATACAACATACTATAACATACTACATAATATAATTACCTTTACCGTTACAGCTTATTAAAGACCACTGCTGAACGTAGGCCTTCCCCAAAGACTGCCTCATAGGGGAGATATTTACCATAGTTGCTACGCTTGGCCAGCGGGTTAATAATCGCAGTTTTTTTTTAAATTTTAGTCGTTATTAGGAAGACGCTGTTGCCCATCTCCTGATATGTTTCTCTCTGTCGCCTCTTCCGACACGATATGGGCAAGAGATATTCTTACATAGATACTATATGGTAAATACTCTAATTAAATGCGAGTATATTATATTGATCCGGTATAGCTGAGAGGCTAAGCTCACGTTATAATTTCACAGAACGCGAGCAACCCGGGTTTGTTTAAGCAATGAAATTGTTAATTGCAGTTTAAGTGTTGACTTACCATTTGCTTGAACTTGAAAGAAAAAACCTTGAGTAAACGAAACATGCATGTCTGTGAAATTAAAGAAGACATGCGAAGTTCGCCAACACGCAATGGATCAGCGCGACAGACATCATTCTATTTTTCCTCTCAGTAACGAGAAAAGTTTTTTGACGTACATAGTCTGTAACTTTACTTTTATATATATTTACTATGTAGATGCTTATTTTAATATATATCATCTATTCCATTCCAGCCCATTAAAGTCTACTGCTTAACCTTGGCCTCCCCCATAGATAGCTTGATAGAGGAGATTTTGCTACTGTTACCAGACTGGACACTCGGGTTGGCGACCGCAGTTGTTTATTAATTTGAGGTGTTATCAGGAAGATGCTGCTGCCCACTTCCCATTTCAGTTTCACTCTGTGACATCCACGGAATGATATGGGTACGGAATATTCTGACACCGCCTTTATATACGCATTAATAGTAAAGTATGAAGTAAGAAATATAAAGCACATATTAAACATTTAAAAATATAACATTAACGATACTGAAAAAGAACAATTAAATGTCAGTGCATCGCACCATTTGTCTTTTGTCATAAATTTTCTCGCACTACTGAAATGTCCCACATTTTTAATGTATGATGAATTTAATGAATGAACGATGAATGCATAGCCTTCTTTCTTTTCTATATTTATATATAAAATTTCTACATTTATTGTTTTTGCTTGCGATTTAACTTTTAAAACTTTAACAGTAAAATTAGTGGGATGTAATGTCCCCAGGAATCTAAGCACTGTCGTACTTGATATACTCGTAAGAAATAGAAATTTATCGTTTAACATTTTTAATGTTGAATAAAACTACGTTTACAGATTTTTTTTTGCGTTGAATTAACTTATTTATCATATTTTTATTTATTCCCGACGTTTCGGGTGCTTTACAGTGGTCACGGTAGACTGAGGTGATTGACGTCCCGATGTCAGAGTTAACCGGAGTACCTTCAGCTTTTTAATTATTAATTTTGGTCCGATATACGCAGAATAAACTTACTGTGTCTTGAAGTCTTGCAGTGGTATGCTTGGATTTAGTTTTAATTTTATTAATTACAGGATCCCATTCAGGTAGTATTACCCAGCCTCCCTCTCTATTGAAATTAGGATGTTTTTTTTTAATTTCAATAGCCTCACGTATCATCCTTGGCAGGAATCGATGTTTTTTCGCGAGAATTTGTGGCTTATCAAATCTAATGTAATGGCGGGGGCCGTCTAGGATATGATCACAAACTGCAGACTTACCGGAACGTTGGTGTTTCACGTCAGGAATAAATAAAAATAAGATAAATAAGTTAATTAAACGCGAAAAAATCCGTAAAAGTAGTTTTATTCAATGTGTAGTGTTCACGTAAATATAAAAAATCATTATTTTTAATGTTTTGAAATATTAGGTATAGTAACAGAATAACTGCAACAACCTAAGTGAATATTAGAAAAATTATATAACTTTGCAAGGAGTTTTTTTTTAATTCTTAAAACCTATATTCATTTATAATTCATTTCAGCCAATAAATCCACTGGTTAGATTAGGCCATTCCCATAGATTGGCTCATAGGGCGATATTTGGTAACCGCAGTATTTTATTATTTTTAGTTGTATTAAGATGATACTGTTGCCCATCTTCTGTTTCGTTTCCCTCTGTCGCCTCTTTCGATATGATATTATGGGGAAGTGCGTACTCTTACGCTACCTGTACACGGCAGATATATAATATAAAGTTCTAATCACTATTTACTTTGTGATGGCGGCATAAGACAATCCATCACCTCCTTTCGTCCTGCAGTTGGTGTGAGAGGCAACTATAGGAAATGCCAGAAAACTTTTATGACTTTTGGTAGGTGGTGATATAACCATTTCTTTAAGCTAGGTGTTAATACCCAGACCGACGACATACACCAACGTCAAAGGTTTAAAACATCTGGTACGATTGCCAACCTACCAGCAAAGCTTGTACCACCAGATGTACCAGATGTTGGTCGATTAAGGCAAATCGACCCTTTAAAGCGAGAAGCCCATGTCTAGCAGTTCACTTTACGTGTTAATGGAGATTCAGAAGAAAAATTACGACCTATATACGTACTATATTCGGTCGCAGGTCTCCTTTTTTTTGACATAAATAAGAAGAAACAGTTCGTCTCTTGTGCTACTCTAACTGACAGAACTCATATGGCCTCATATTTTTTCTCAGATATGCAGGTTTCCTGGCGATTTCTTTTCATCGCGAAGCACGTGGTAAATACTGATTTAAGATTGCAAGTAACAATTTCATTGATGCAGGTGAGGATCAAACCCTAGTTGATGGAATTTTCTTAAATTTACTGCGAGCGTACGACTGCGTTATTATTCATTTTAACATGTAACTGAAATAAAATAAATATAATTTAACCGGAATATATCTGTTTATCTTTTTTGATCTAATCGGAAATTCCTTAAAATGAAAAGGAAGCTGTGTAGTGCTCTAGGTATGCTCTCTGAGCATGCTAAGTTCCATGCTTAATAAAATCCAACACGTCATTTTGTACTGTTCAACAAGAGAAAGACTCGATGGTCGCCAACATAAACATCTCCTTTATGCTAAAGATAGAGAAATTGTGACGAATGTCGTCCCAATTTCTCTATCGTATTTTTATATTTTAAACTTATTTTTATTAATTAATGCCCTTTTTTGTTTCATTCAATGTGTCAATTATTTTATGGTGAAAAAATTGAATATATATTTATTTTATTTCGGTAATTGCAGTGCTTTGATACTTTGCTCGAACAGGAAATCGCTTTTAGTATTACTCTTTTACGGGTTAGTGGTTTTCTATGTTATTCTGTTAGCAAAACGGCAGTTGAATATGAATAAAATAAAAATATACTTCAATCCCACTAAAACCAATTTCACTAATGTAAGATAACACGATAAATATTTCTCGGGTTTTTTCTGGATTAAAGCAAAAGAAATTGTTTTGTTTTTATGAGCTCGCTCTCAAATCTTGCACATTACAGATTTTTTACGGCCCTCACATCAATATCGCTATCATAATGCTGGTAACAACAGATAGATTCTCCGTGACATGTCTCAACTAGGTGGTCCGCTTCCAATCCCATGCTCAACGTACGGCGTACGTGTATAAACGTTTACGTCTCTTCCGCCGTAATGGAAGTAGTGCAGTTTTGTCTGATATTATGATAATATTGTTATGTAATAGGCTATATTTACTTTACATTATAAGACCTGCATAGTTTATATTGTTTATTTAATAAATTACTTTCTTATGAGCCAAACGAATGTTATGTAATAGGATACTGTTTACTTAATATTATAAGACCTGCATAGTTTATATTGTTTATTTAATAAATTACTTTCTTATAAGCCAAACGAATGTTATGTAATAGGATACTATTTACTTTATGTAATAAGACCTGTATACTTTATAAATCATATTGTTTACTTACTCACACTAGTTCGATTGTAATATTATATGCTAATGTTTATAGTTTACCATAAGTTAAGTAAAACACCAAGAATAATGTTGTTCTTTTATGTTTACCCCTACCTCCTAGCTTCCTACACTATTAAAACCAAATCTTTCGATCCCTCAATACAATTTCATTACCAAGTTCTCTGTATTAACTAGTTTATTTTAAGTTAGTTTAAAAGTACTAAATAAATTTCTTTTTAAAAGAGTTTTTGTCTCTGCCACATAACAATATGCCATGTAATTAATTAAATTAATTTTGGTAATCTGCTATCAAGTGGTGATCATAACGTAGTTCACATAGAATCGAGTAGGGTGGTTCTACACTTGTATATATAATGAAATTTTGGTTATTATGTAATTAATGAAATAATGAATGAAACGTAAACCAAAAACAAACTTCAAATGAAAACGTGGTATAAACCTACATTTTATTTTAACACACCTAAAATTACAATGTTATCGTTGGCAGCTACCTAAAATTCCGCTCTAATGCGAAGTTTTTGCAAATGGATGCTATTCAGATTCATAAATCCTTTTAGGAGGTTAGGCTTTGCTGTTTCCACTATATTAGGGAAAAGAAAGAATTTTAAACTGACTTATGTGGAAATGGAAATTAGAAACTATTGATAAATCCAATTGTGCATGCCCTAAGTGAATTGAAAAAATTACGTATAATATGATTATACGGAATTTTTTTAAAGTAGTTTAAATACACACAAGTTTTCACTAATAACCTTATTATACTTCCAATTTTCCGATAATTTAATGTCAAACTTAAATTTTGGAAAAAGTTTGGAAAATCCAAAAGTGCACGACTCATAATGCTCATATGATCATCGTATCATCATTCAGGTCACTCCATAAAGTCCAATCAGGGTTTATGAGTCTACACAGCATCCATTTTCAAACACTTCGAATTAAAGTACAACGTTACGTAGCTGCCAACCATAACACCGTAATTTTAGGTTTGTTGGAATTAAAGTGTAGACTATTACTACGTTTTCATTTGATGTTTGTTTTTTGTTTACGCTTTATTCATTATTTTATTCAAAACAGCCTATCAAAAGTTTACATCCAAACATAGGCCTCCCCTTAGAATACATCATAGCGGGGATATTTGCCACAGTTACAACGATTAGCAGCCGGCCTAGCAACCTTAACTTATTATAATTTTAAATTGTTATCAGGAAAATGCTACTGCTTCGCTCCTGTTTCATTTTCGTTTGTTTTCATGTTTTGTTCTTATGACAGCCACGAGTTAATATGACGCCGCTACTACATATAGTACGGGTGCACCTGTCCTCCATACTTACTATCCCAAATTTTAGTTCACAAACTGAAATTTAATAAAGGCTTTTGCCTATATATTTGTATATGTAACCTGAAACATGATAGAGCTAGGAAATCATATCTTCCGGCTTACACACCGTTCTTTGTCACCATTCTGAATTCTTATAACAATTCACGAAATGCTTATTACACTATCTGTTGTATAAAAAAAAGTTTTAATAATGTTTCTTATATCGATTTACCCATACTCAAGAATTCTCTCACGTTGCGTTGCCGTTGAATATTTTAGGCAACTAAGTGTGAGAAACGAGCATATAGTCCCTTTGATGATAAGGGAATATTATGCCCTGTAAATCCTTACATTTATCTTAGATAAGGAATAAACATACTACCGCTGTTGTATGTTACTGCAAATCATAACGTGCACGTTAACAAGTACAATTTGTATAAACTGAAAAAAGGGAACTAAATGCTTTCGTTTTGCGATAGCGCATGTACGTAATTAATATTACTTTAGGCAAAAAATCACCACGTACTCGGCGGTGAAGGAAAAACTCGTGAGGAAACCTGCAGATCTGAGAAATAAAAAAATATTTCGAGTACATGTGAAGTTCGCCAACACGCATTTGGGCAGCGGGGCGGATATTTCCCTCTCAAAAATTTAAGGAGGCCTGTATCCAGTGTAACTTTAACTGTATTGTATTAAATAGGCTTTGTGAAATATATCTTCAGATTGTTTGTAATTTTAGAGATTCGTTACATTTAAAATAAAACCTTTGCCTTGGTGCAGCGGCGTAAGAGAATTCATCACTGCATTTTATACCGTGGGTTTATTAACTATACTACCAATATAGCTATAGGGACAAGTGGAATTTGGAATTATGGACCATTTTTTCCGAGAACGCAGTAAACCATCATTTGTATCCTTTATACTAGAAATAGTTATCCTTAGCGTCAATGAAAAGCAGCGACAAAGATGCGAAACATCTGCAATCGTCCACGCTTGGCAGTGTGTTACCCATTTTAAGAATTTAGACTTTAACGGACCAGTAATAAAAATGATGAAGAAATTACTACATAACTAACAGATATAAATAAAAGATGGTAATGATTAACTTGTTAGGTAAACATACACCTCTGTAAGAAATTTTATACAGTACATTTAGACGTGCGTATCTCCCAAGATCGTAACGTACAGGTGAGCAAGCTCTATGTTTTGCTCAGAATCGAGTGCATGCTGTGTAACCTTGCCCTACTACTCACTTCTTAGAACATGATTAACAATACAGAAGTACCAATTGCAACATTTGTTGACCATACAGAGATTTTTTGTTAACAATGTTGATGCACATAACACTTGCACACGTGCATTTTTAATTCAAAATTTTATTACATTTGACACAAAACTAGTTTTGCTGTGACATAGATAAGCCATTTATTTTATCTGAATAAATAAATAAATTAATTAAAAATAATAACATTCATATCTATTAACTGCTGTTGGTTATAAAATCAATGTAAATAAAACGTTCTGAATTATTTATTTTTAATAAAGTGCTTTAGCAACTACTTCACAAAAGGCTGAGTCATCTCCAATACGTTCAGTATATGGCTTACCGTCATACACAAATTCTTTAAGCGGTACAGTCAAATGCACGCTAAAGTCAAGAGCTTTACCAATTTTCTGAGAACCTATAGATGTCCAAATAGCTTGACAAATTTTTGGATACGTCTTATTGGGTTCTCTTGATTTTATCATTTTGTACTTAGGACCTAGATCTTCAACTGTAATCTTTGCTATAGGGCCATCTTTTAATTTCCTAGCTAAATCTACGGAATATTTGCATAACAAGGTTCCTAATTTTTGTTTTCTATGCTCACGTAGCGTTGCTAAGAACATTATTTCAAGACTGCAGTCGACTCCATATCTGTAAACAAGTAAAAGAAATAAAATAATAACAAGGAATTGATTTGTTCAAAATATAAGACATTAAATCTGTTATAATAACAATGTATGAAACTTACTTTTTAAATAAATTGCACCTTCCGTCTACGATTGCCATAAATTGGATTAGAGAGCGGGATGATTCTTGTGTACATCGTTCTTCGGCAAATATTTCAAAAAACGGTTTCTCCGATACACTCGACGATTGAACCTTTTAAGAACATAAAAACATAACATACATATTACGCTTTAATTTAAAAATTGGCCTTTTTTTCTTTGGTATTGTCAAAGTTGCCTTGCACGCCTCTAAGATCAACCAGATACAATGCTGTTCTTCCAACTACAGTGTAAACATACCCTACGCCCATTGCCAATTAACCTATATTCTTAATACAATGTATTAGAATTGTTAATATATGTTATATATTAATTGTAAATATAAATTCATTGATAATTTAGTAGTCGGCAATCGGATTGCCAAACGCATGGTTTTATTATTTACTTGTTATCAGGAAGATGCTGCTGCCCATCGCTTGGCTTGTCGCCTGTGATTGAAATGTAGGGTGGTCTCCCACTTCTGTTGGAGTAAAGACCTGGTAATACTTGCAGTATATACTCAGTATGTAGACCAGTTTTAATTTTTTATTTATTTTATTTATCTGTAATAAGTGCAATAAAATTGGCATTTGCCGAGCGTAAAAGAAAACATATGAGCCATTGTAATCAAAATATTTCGACGGCATATTGACCATACGCACTGCAGTTTTCTCTGCTCCAAATCCTCAGAAATGATTGCAGTGACGAAGTTCGTTACACCACAGAAGAATACCTTTTTTAAATTATCTTTTATATCCAGGCTATTGTATATTTACAATTCCCCCAGTTATAATTCCTTATAATGAATATTATAAGGAATTATATATTTGATACAATAAACATATTTCTTTAAAATTCAATTCTCTAGTATTTTCATTAAAAACATAATACTTAGACTAAAACTTAGTTACTTGTATTTTGTTAAAAGCAACAGCAACTACTTTCTCAGTACTTAATTCTACGACAACTAATGACACCCCATCAAGCGCTGCATCCGCACATAGTTCCAGCAATTCCTCAGCGGCGACCGGGTTTTTGTTCACTTCGCTTCCTATGCTCACGTATTCATCTTGGCAAAACGATTCCTTTATTACCTGAAAAATTAAAATATGCTTTGCATCGCCACTTCTTTTTCAATTTATATGAACAATGCGACTGTTAAGTTTAAACGGATAATTGAGATCATTGTTGCTATATAAAATTAATTATTATAGATAAAAGAGAACTATTACTCGTAATGCGCCTTCTATCGTAGCCGGAGATAAGCATTCGATTCGGTATTTATCCGAAATTATCACTGTAACAAACACAATTTTGAAAACAATCATATTATACTAAACTTTATACATTTTACAATAATAAAATTTCGTGTTATGTATTTAGTGTAATGTGTGTATATATACTTAAGTATTCTAATAATAATAAGTTAGTTTAAATAATATAAAAGTGATCAGTTGTTTAGCTTTATTTTATTTCACTTACAATTATCATATATAAATATCTTAGAAGCTCTAGCACTAACAATTTCAAATAAAATAAAAGTTATCATTTATTTATTTGGGTTTATTTTATAGACTTTTCATTCTTTTTAAACTTCAGTATTCTATTCGTCTTACAGCAACATAATATCCCAATCACTTATAACAATATAAACACAAACTGTGACATTGAAGTTATCTTCTTCTACAAAGTAAAATGCTAACAACGAGTTTTTGAATGAATAAGATCTTACCTATACAAACCATAAAATTGGTTTTATACATCTTAAGGTTAAGTACTCACAGTATTTGTATTAATACTATTAAAAAAATGAACGAACCGGATTTCGAATCGCTCCACTCCATTTTACAAGTATACTAAATTTATTTACTAAATTAAATTTCGCACACGAAACGTGATAAACATACGCCTGCATCGATCTCGCGTGTCTGACTGATCATGATCACTAACGTATGACGCGAAGAGCATCTGTGTGCGTTTTGTACATCTGAGAAGCATAGCGACACGACTACGTTTTTATTTATCAGCAGTTAAGCAATTTACAATTGAATTTACAATAAAAAGAGGTAGAAATAAGTCTTGTTCTTGTAACATTTTTATATCAAGGATTTTGTTAAGAACAATTTCAATTAATGACGGTTAGAAGATTATATTAAATTAAGAAGACCGAAGAACAATGTATAGTGATAAACTTTTATTCTAGATTATAGTACGTCGGCAGAAGGAAGTTTAAGAGAATGCATCACCCCATATTAAGTGGGTGTCTTAAGAAGCGAACGTGAGAAAAATCAGAAGATTGGCCTCCGTAACAAGATAGCGGTATAAGTATAACTATATTGTATATAAGTAAAAATAAAAATAAAGTTACAGCCTCTATTCGTCTCTGTGTTGGGCACAGACCTGTTTTATTTCTTAAAGGATTATAAAGAAACTGTTTGGGTACGCATTTGCTTATATCGCGCGTTTTGGAAGTATGTTATTTTTCAGGAATATAGGTTTCCTCTCGGTATTTTCTTTCACCACCAAATACGTGGTCGTAATTCAGACCTAAATTTCAAGGACTTAGTGCGTGTTGTAGCGGTGTAAAAAATCCACTGCCGTGGGCGTTAGAAATCAATCCGACGTATCGAAAGGGATGAAAATCACATTCAAAAATTTGGTTACATAGATACATACCATGCTAATACAAGCGTTTTAAAAAACTACGATTTCCAAGCCGCCTTTCAAGGGTGAAATACTATGGCAAAAGCCCTATAAGACCATCTACCAAAGAGGCCTATGTTAGGCAGTGGTCGTTGATCGACTGTAATGATTGAATAATAATTAAATGAATCAAGTTCGAATAGTAAGTGGATATTTCACCTAATTGTTAGGTGAATATACAGTCAATATGTTATATATGTTGCAGTCAAAACTAATAACCGGTCAAAACCACTTTTGACTGCAAAAGTTTGATTTCGTATTACACGATCAGCTTTTGATCAAATTAGATCATAACAAAATTAGATGCTTAGCGTATCACTGGATTAAGTCATACATACAAAACAGGCATCAATGTTTTGAGGTGCTAAAACTTCACAATAAGCATGTAAGTCGAATTTATAGATCCAAATTTAGAAAAAAAATTTGTTTTGGCGTACCACAGGGTAGTGTACTAGGTTCACTTTTATTTTTGATAAATTCAAACGACTTACCTGAGATTACTAAATATAGACCACTCATCGACCACGTCCAAATGGCTACAGGTTCCTTGCAACAACAGGTCCCATCCGCAGAGATCGTGATCCTTGGCGATTTTAACGTTTAACCGATCATGCGGGGAGATCTGTTTATGACTTTGCCTTGGCATATGGTCTGACACAACTGGTTACTTCGCCTACGCGGATTCCAGATGTGGAGGATCATACACCTTCCCTGTTGGACCTACTGCTGACCTCTCATCCGGACGGATATCAGGTTTCCGTCAATGCCCCTCTCGGCTCTTCGGACCATTGTCTGATCCGGAGTGTGGTGCCACTCACGCTCCCTTCGCGGTTGCGTTCTGCAGGTTGCCGCCGTGTTTGGCATTACAGGTCAGCGGCTTGGGACGGAATGCGGTCTTTCTTTGCATCCTACCCATGGAATGGAACTATTTATTCCATCATCTGTGGTACCCATCGGAGGCAGATCTCAGCCTTGGTTTGGTTGCTCCTGTAAGACTGCATTACGTAGTAAGCAGGAGTGTTATCAAGCCTGGGCTGCGGCTTGGGATGTAAGCACCAGCACACTTAAAAAGAAGTATAACTTCGCCTCCAGGTCCTTCAAAAGAGTTATTGCCAAGGCAAAGTCAGAGCACATAGGCAGAATTGGCGAGAAACTAGTTCGCCTTCCTTCGGGAACCCGTGTATTCTGGTCTCTCGCCAAGGCTGTCCAAGGGAATTTCTGTAAGCCATCACAACCATCTTTGCACAGGGAGGACGACTCATTGGCCCAAGACGCAAAAGACAAAGCTGACCTTTTAGGCTCCCTTTTTGCGTCCAACTCGACTCTTGATGACGGGGGGAAAACACCGCCGACCATCCTGCGGTGTGAGTGCTCCATGCCGGATGTGCTGTTCTCACAGTGCTCGGTTCGCAAAGCACTTCTATCCCTGGATATCCAGAAGTCGAGTGGGCCTGACGGAATCCCCCCAATTGTGCTGAGGACGTGTGCTCCGGAGTTGGCACCGGTTCTAATGCGTCTTTTCCGGTACTCCTACTCCCAAGGCGTAGTCCCAAATTCATGGGACACAGCTTTTGTCCACCCGATCCCTAAAAAAGCGACCGCTCAGACCCGTCCAACTATAGGCCTATCGCGATCACCTCCTTGTTCTCCAAAATAATGGAATCCATTATTAACTGCCATCTCATCTGGTACCTTGAGGATCACCAGCTGATTGTGACCGCCAATACGGTTTTCGTCGGGGTCGATCAGCTGGTCATCTTCTGGTCTACCTGACCCATAGATGGGCGGAGGCAGTAGAGTCCAAGGGGGAGGCGTTGGCCGTTAGTCTGGACATTGCGAAGGCCTTCGATCGGGTTTGGCACAAAGCGCTTCTTTCGAAGCTCCCTTCCTATGGGCTTCCCGAGAAATTGTGCAATTGGATCACCAGCTTCCTTGCAGATCGGAACATCAAGGTCGTTGTAGACGGTGTATGTTCTGACTACAAGCCTCTTAAAGCTGGTGTTCACAAGGCTGTGTGCTATCACCAACGCTGTTTCTTCTGCATATCAATGATATGTTGCTAACTGGTAACATTCATTGCTATGCGGATGACAGCACTGGTGAATCTCTCTACACCGGCCGTGCCAATATTTCTCGGGAAAACGTCGCCGAGTATCGGAACAAACTTGTGTCTGAAGTTGAGTCTTTGCTAAACAAAGTCTCGGCTTGGGGACGACTAAATCTAGTCCAGTTTAATCCTCAGAAGACACAAGTTTGCGCGTTTACCGCTAAAAAGAACCCCTTTGTCGTATCTCCTCAGTTTCAAGGCAGTCCTCTTCTTGCCTCAGCCAGTATCGGTATCCTCGGAGTCGACATATCGAGTGACGTGCAGTTTCTTGGTCACTTGGAAGAGAAGGCCAAATTGGCCTCTAAAAAGCTTGGCGTGCTCAGAAAAGCGGGACTATTTCATGCCGGCACACCGCCTGCAACTTTACAAGGCGCAGGTTCGGCCTCACATGGAATACTGTTCCCATCTCTGGGCAGGGGCTCCCCAGTGCCAGCTCCTTCCACTTGAGCGCATCCAGCGCAGAGCGGCTCGAATCGTCGACGACCGAGCCCTTTCCGATCGGATCGATTCATTGGCACTGCGAAGAGATGTTGCATCCCTTTGCATTTTCTTTCGCATCTACCATGGGGAGTGTTCTGAGGAATTGTTCGGATTAATCCCAGCCGCCAAATTTCACGAACGCACATCGCGGCAGAACTTCCGATACCATCCACACCATCTGGATGATTGGCGGCCCACCACTGTGCGATTTAGAAGATGTTTTCTTCCTCGCACGACTTCCTTGTGGAATCGATTACCATCAGCGATTTTTCCGGACCGATACGACTTAGGGACCTTCAAGAAAAGAGCGTACTCCTTTTTAAAAGGCCGGCAACGCATCTGCAATTCCCTCCCTGGTGTTGCAGTTGTTCATGGGCGGCAGTAGTCACTTACCATCAGGTTAGCCGAATGCTCGTTTGCCCCCTCTTATAAAAAAAATGAAGTACTTTATTCGCAGATGACGTCGCAGTAATAGTCACAACAAATAAAAATATGTCACTGACGAAACATATTTTTGACATTAATTAAACAATATTTGCAGTAACTAAATGGCTAAGTAATAATAATTTAACAATAAACTCAAGTAAAACTCAATATATAAATTTCAATAATATAAATAATAATTTAATTAATATTAATTATAATGGACAAACTGTTTGTAGTGCAACTAACGTGACATTTCTAGGTATAATTATTGACAAAGAATTAACAAAGAATTAAAGTGGAAAGAACAAGTTTGTAAACTATGTAATGAAATAAATAGGTTCACATATGCGCTTTGTAGACTTACAAAAGTGGCAACAAAACAAACTGCAATTATGACATATTTTGCATATATTGAGTCTATTATCCGCTACAGGATTATAATTTGGGGCAACAGTGCAGAAATTAATAAAGTTTTCATTGCACAAAAAAAATGTGTTCGTGCCATTCATAGTGTTGGCCCAGATGACTCATGCCGACCACTATTTAAGACACTGGGGATCTTACCTGTGCCTTGTTTGTATATATTAGAAGTTGCTAATTTTGTAAAGCAACACGAGAAGAGTTTCTATAAACTTAATAAAGAAGTGGTATCCATGAACACAAGATACCAAGATCGGATAGTAATTAGTGAAATACCAAAAAGTAAACGCTTTAGCAAAAGTTGTAACTGGGTGGGTAAAACAATATACGAGATTAAATACCAAACATAATTAAAGATCTTCCTATGCAAAAATTAAAAAAAAAAATTATACCAGTGGCTTCTTTAAAATACATTTTACTAGGTAAATGGGTTTTTAAATTACTGATGACAACTTTTTATAGGACTGTAGCTCATAATTGACATTTTTTGTTATTAACTGACATGGTACATAATATTGTTTAATTTATTTTTCTTTATTTGTTAATAATATAATTTTACTTTTGATATATTTAGGTTAATTGGATGGATCGTTTATTGTCGCTAATTTAACGATTTAATAATGATTGATTTTGATGTGTAAATTTTGAATAATTTTATAAATTCTAAGAATAAATAAATTTGCATGTCTCCATTAGGGACTTAGTATGTATACATAGTATTTAACAATATCTTTTGTAACATACATACTAAAAAGCAAATAAATAAATAAATAAAAATCAGGCAAA